TAACTAAGTATAAATAGGGTGTCTGGATTATAAAAAAGTTTTATCTGTGGTGTTTATTTATCCATATTAATCTATAATTATATTGTAATTTCTTTCATGGATCAAAGTGAAAAGAGGACCTCTCAGGTATATGAATGAATACAATGCCTTTAAAAATATTCACAGCTTTGCTCAAATATTTTTAACTGCTCTTGTTTAAACTTACCTTTGAGTTAAAAACGGGCTGAAACGACATCATTTCACGTTTAAATGGTTTGCGTTGTATTACACTGTTAACATTTTTTTCACATTTTTGTACAATATGTTTGTTATTTTTAAAGAGAGTGACCGGCAATATATGGTAGTTGAACTGAGAATGTAGTATTGTGGAGAAATTTGTTAGGACTCATTTGAGAGATATAAAACGTTTTAATAATGTATAATAACTAAGTTTTACCGCAAAGCCATCCATTTAGGTGGCTACTTTTGAGAATCTATTTTTTTTTTAATTATGAAATAACGACAACAAAAAATGTAACAAAAATTCTACAGAAAACTATAAATTAGTTGTTTAGGAACAGGTTGAAAGAATAAAAATTCACTCTTTTAATCGAAAATAAGTAATCTTATTCAGTTATTAGTTTCTGTAATCTCTTATTGATCACAAACATTTTATGTAGATTTTCTGGAATTTTTATTGAAAAATGAAAAGACAACATTTGAAGAATTTGTAAAAAACAATTTGGTTAAGAATAAGAAATTCAAGAAAATGATGAAAAAGAAATAATTGATTCTAACATTGATTCATTGACAAATTTCTATTGAGAAATTTGTTCCTAAACATCGAATTAGTTTACTGTAAAATTTTTAATAGATTTTTTGTTGTCATTATTTAATAATCTTTAAAAAATCCATTCTCAAAACGTAACCACCCAAATGAAATAATTTTGAACGTCGATTTGCGCTCAATCTCACTTATTATACATTATTAAAACTTTTTATCTGTCTCAAATGAATACCCAAAAATTTCTCCACAAAACTACATTCTCAGTTCAACTACCATATATTCTTAGTCACTCCCTTTAGATGCTTCAAGAAATCTCTATATTATATAAATTAGCATATATCAGACTCAGTATATGATTGTATCTGACCTGAGGAGGAGAAAATTGTGTTTTCATGAACACATACACTGTTAATATATTCACAATGCTCTCTAAAAATAATAATATATACACAACTCAAATATAAGGTCTTTTTGATTTATCAAATTGTAAAAAAGCCGATCATTGTTTATTGAAACTTGAACACTTACAAGTTAGTTCACATTGAGAACTAAATCTAATGTATTCGTCCAAGAAAAATAAAAGTAAAAGCAAAAATTGGTTTGGTTTTTAGGTTATGTAGAGCTGTGCATAGAGAAATATATGCAAAAGGCACATTTCAGTTTCTCCCATGGTAAGATAGAGCTTTCAAAGCATCAATGAATTTTCTTACAATCATGATAAACAGATTTGGTAATATGTTTATTAAATGCTTCTGCTGGTTTTCTAATAATTTCTACAAAATTGTTGCAGAATTGTGAAAATGATAGCCTTTTTAGGCTAAACTTGGGAAATATAAATTCTAACTTAGCTTCTCATTCAAAACCCCATATATGCTGATCGAAATGGAGAATTTGTTTATCATGACTTCAAGATAACTTACAAACGTTTTGAAAGTGCTGACCATGAGAGAAGCTAAGATGTGCTTTTTCAACATATTTCTTTATAAAGCTATATAACCTTCAAACCAAGCCAAGTTTTTTCTTCTGCATTTATTTTTCTTGGATGTACATGCTAGATTTAGTTCTAAGTATGAATCAACCAATATTTGGTTTACCCTATTCTGACTTTTCTTACATACCCAAAGCCCTCCCTTAAGGCCTAAAACCGGGCTTTAATACTAACTGCCTGAGTCCTCAGGCACACTGCCTGAATGACTGCTTTTGCCTGTAACAAACTAAATCTTTGTTTTGACCCACATTCACTTGTCAGATTTTGATAAAATTTAGCTTTTTGGAAAGCCTATGACATAAGGAAACGTATTGCACAAGTTTTGCGAAAAAAAATTGCAAATTTTTTGCAAACAACCTGTCAAAGGAAATTTGCACATTTTTAGTTTTTCTTGATTAAAAATCAGGTTATTTAAAATTTTGCAAAATTTTTTGCATATTTGAAATGGCATGGTCAAGGGCTTTTCAATAATGTATAATTTTTCATTTTTTGGACAAATTTTTTTTGCAAACATTTTTACTATATAACTGGATTTTGCGATAAAAAATTCAATTTTTGCAAATTTGCAATTTTTTTTGCAGATTCTAAAAGTAGAGCACAAGAGCTTTATAATGATGTATCATTTGTCATAGTTTGACATTAAACGTGGGATTTAGAGGGGGGGGGTCAAATTGACCCCCCCCCCAGAATATCCTGGTTTTCAAGTACCCCAGCAGGGAGAGGTTTAGGTAAAAACATAAAAATAATCAGATTTTTTGTACAATTTTATTAATCCTAAAAGCCTGATATATTTGATATTAGTAAATATTAAATTTAAAATATAGATATTTCAAATGTTCACCTTATTGTATCAATCTCTTGAAATTCACTTAGTCGAAAGCTCTCCTGAAAATTTTAAAATCCCTTTTTGAGAAGTTATAATACTTTTCTATCAAAACCACTATTTAATTAATGTGCACTTTGGATTCAATGATGTGTGTCATTCTTTTAGACGTTTGATCGCTAAAAATAATAAAAAGTATGTCAACTTGAAAAAAATGAAAAAGACTAAGATAGAAAATTTTTCTTTAACATTTGTCACAAATAATTATTTACTTAATTCGTGTAACAATGCAACTTGTAAAATTAAATATAACTAACAAATATATACACTTTTAATTTATAAATATAAAATTTTACCTCTGATTTTATAATATTCCACAATCTAACTTGTCTATCCTCGCCACCAGTTATAACTTCACAGTTTCAAACTTTTCTTTAGATTTGGTAGATATTTGGTAGACATATTTGTTGATATATTTGGTAGATATTTGTTAGATATTTGCTGCTATAGATATGGTAGATATTTGTTGATATAGATTTGGTAGATATTTGTTGATATAGATTTGGTAGATATTTCTTGGTATAGATTTGGTAGATATTTGTTGACATAGATTTAGTAGATATTTGTTGATATAAATTTTGAAAATACTAGAATTAACGTTTAATTTTAAACGTGAACTTTATCAATGTAATTGGTGAAGAAAGAAAAATCTCAATCTCAATCTCAAATACAAAAAGATAGGGTTTGTATAATATGTAAATGTAAAAAAGAAAAAAAGAAATTAAAAAATCAATTCCAAAAATCAAGAGTGAGTTTTATACTAAACTGTATTCTATCATCCCTGGTAAAATGATATCCTTGAAATATTAAAAGCTTTCGAAATATGTTTGATCATGAAAAGGATGTGAGGGGGAGATTTACTTTTTACACTGTAAATTGTATAATATTAATTTAGAAAATATTATCAAAGGAAGATATACCAGGAATCATCATACCTTTTGTTTACAATACAGTTACAACCATAAAACTCTGAAATAGGAAGACGACTTTAATAATCATTTCAAACTTTAAAAAGTCCAGTACACATGAGCCTAAACATTTATGCAGTGTAAGCAGACCCGTTTCACTCAATTAAAGGTTCTATAAGTGTCTAGTAACTTGTAACAACACTAATTGCTATAATTTCGTCTTCCATATTACATTGTTTTCTGGTTATCACTGTATAAGTGTACTGCAGTTTCTGGGAGGAATATAAACACAACCCGGCCCAAAGAATCAAAATGTAAAGATGGTCATTTCAGAGGTGTATGCATTTTTTGTACTGCAGTGTCTCTGGGCTGTAATGCAAACACAAGACGGATGTCACCGCCTGATATGAGATCCATTTTTCACATTAAACATTAAAATTCAATGAAATATTCTGGCCATAGGAAAATATTATGGGACTTACTAAAATTATCAAAATTAGAAGCGAGTATCCTCCTCGGATACGAGAGAGAACACTGATGCATCTATTCTTCTTTATAAATACCGCCCAGAGAGAATAGGTTTCAATATGTACGCAGAGAATACGAAACAACAACAAACTTTCATTGCCTTATTACCTTGATCCGGCCTAAGCAGCGCTGAGTTGGTTTACTGAAACTCAAGTACACATAATATACACATTAAACCTTAATCAGATCAATATTGTGAAATGAATCGATTATTAGAACCACGGGAGTAGCAGAAGGTTAAAGATTATATATTGGATGGGTTGAATTTTAAAAAAGAAGTTTAGATTTCTAGGCAAATCTGGGTTCCCCAGCTAAATTATGATATATATTTATAAACATATTACCTACATGATAGATATCCAACATTAAAATAAACATGACTTTGATGGAGGCGTAATTTGACATTGATACTATTAGGCCTTGATTGATATTTAAAATATTTTAGTATTCAAAATTAGCTCGATATCGTCACATTCCCCACCATGTTTTGTATCTGGTAAAGACAAAAACGTTTGTGGCTTGGGAACCCTGCTTTACCTGGAATCTGAAATTTCTCTATAATTATAGGCTAAGTTAAACCAGGCTAAGAATATTCCCCTTGTTCTAACGAGTTATTACAAAATCGGCAAATCGGTGAAGGGAATCGGGAACATGGGAAATTCAAATAAACAAACAGACGTCTGAGGCGAGAAATCAGCTATTTTAATGTATAGAAAAGTTTTTATGAATGTGCCTAATTTCTCATCTTGACTGTACTTTAGTGAATCCACGCTGCCCTGGTGAAATTTCAAGGCTTTCCGAAACCTAAGTTAGAGTTTAAGATTNTTAACAGGGGCTGTCGATAAAGGTTAAACTAAGAAACACTTCATTCAGACAGTTACGTTGCTGCTTTACGACAGTACCCTTGAGTCCGCAAATTTGTTATCTTTGTTTGTTTCTTCTAAAATTTTATCATCAATAACAGACCGGTGGCCGAATTTAAAGAATTTAAGCGGCGGTTTAAATTCAAGCCGCGGCTTAAATATGGTTGGTTCCACTTAAAATTGTATCAAATGTTTCAAGATTTAAGCCGGCGCTAAATTTAAACCAGGTTTTGGCGGATTTAAACCGCGGCTCAAATTCTTTAAATTCCATCTCAGAAGACAATGCCAATCTTCACAACAGACCGGAAGACAATGCCGATCTTCACAAAAGACCGGAATACAATGCCGATCTTCACAGCAGACCGGAATACAATGCAGATCTTCACAACATACAGGAAGACAATGCCGATCTTCACAACAGACCGGAATACAATGCGGATCTTCACAACTGACTGGAATACAATGCGGATCTTCACAACTGACTGGAATACAATGCCGATCTTTACAACAGACCAGAAGACAATGCGATCTTCACAACAGACCGGAAGACAATGCCGATCTTCACAACAGACCGAAAGACTATGCCGATCTTTACAACAGACCGGAAGACAATGCAATTTTCAAAACAGACCGGAAGACAATGCCAATCTTCACAAACGACCGGAATACAATGCCGATCTTTACGACAGACCGGAAGACAGTGCCGATCTTTACAACAGACCGGAAGACAATGCCGATCATTACAACAGACCGGAAGACAATACGATCTTCAAAACAGACCGAAAGACAATGCCGATCTTCACAAACGACCGGAAGACAATGCCGATCTTCACAACAGACTGGAAGACAATGCCGATCTTTACAACAGACCGGAAGACAATGCCGATCTTCAAAACAGACCAGAAGACAATGCCGATCTTTACAACAGACCGGAAGACATGCCGATCTTCACAACAGACCGGAAGACAATGCCAATCTTCACAACATACCGGAAGACAATGCCGATCTTCATAACAGACCGGAATACAATGCCGATCTTTACAACAGACCGGAATGCAATGCCGATCTTTACAACAGACCGGAAGACAATGCCGATCTTTACAACAGACCGGAAGACAATGCTGATCTTCACAACAGACCGGAAGACAATTAAAGGAATTTAACTGTTTTCAAGATTTGAAAACAGCGACATCTTTTTACCATTACTATTACTATAGACAAAGTTTAAATGGTACCGTTGTGAATTCGGCATGTAATTCTCAAAATGTAAGGTCTGTAGTCTTAATATAGAGGGGTTCTTTTAATTGTTTAATTATGAATATAAAGAGAAGATGTTTAACCTGTCCATGCTGTATTTGATAGAAGGGATGACAATACTGCTCTGTCCGCTTTGCAAATCTACAAATTACACTCTTTAAATCATTTTTTTAGAATTGGGGGGAAATATTCCCACAACCCCTATCTTAGGAGGTTTTTGAATATTTTCTGCTGACACACTTAATTTTTAATTTTTTTGTTATATTTCATAAATAAATATTTACTTAGTACTTAATTCTCATGAAAACAAATAATATTTCTAAAAGAATAAGAGAATTTTAAATCTATTTTCAAACTTCTACTTCAGTTGAACAGTTATGAATTTTCAATGTTTTTACAATATTAAAGGAAGTATTGACTTGAAAAGTTGCTTTTCATTTGAAAAATTGCATTAAGGTTAAAAACTATTCTATTTAAACCTTGTTCTGATAAGAGCAAAGTCATGGATAAAAACTGTCAGAATTCAATATTTGTTTACAATAGAAAACTTACGAAATCTTTCTTATTTTTGCCAGATTTAATTACATTAACAATCTCTTTATGATTCAAACATATTAGTTTTCAAAGTAAAAGATCAAAGGCTTTCTTTTGTTGGTAGTATTTTGATAGTAGATTACCTAAAAGAGACACTTCCCCTTCCTTTCCTCCGAACAGAGCTAGATTTAAATTGATCAGGTCGAGAGACATAACTGGAGAAAAAACTGGATAACTCCTGAAAAAAAATTAATTGAATAATTTGAAAGCTTTGATAATTATGAAACTTATTTCTAATCAAATTTTTTAGATGACTCGTTAATTTTATTAATTAACTTCCCGAAGTGTCGTGCAAACTGTAATTTTGATAAAAACAACAGAGATTCATGTCTCTAGCCATGCTAAGCCTTTGCACTTTTACATGCAAATCTGTTTTACTTCCAAGTTTGCAGACTTTCTGAGTTTGCACATTGGAAATAATTGGAAAACCCGAAAATAAAAAATGATGGTTTGATTTTTCCTACCTTGTTTGATGTCCGGTCCAAAGATCCCAAATTCTTACAGTTGAATCCAAACCTCCGGACACCAACGTGTTTCCTATGACAGTGGTAGGCGATTATATCAATACAATAAAGGCGACTTTCAATTTATTTTTGATTTATATCAACCTGTTAAATAGCATGATTACACATAAACTTATGAAGTCAAGAGAATCTGTCTTTAATTACTTGTAAACTTGTGATTAAAAAAAAGATAGTTAACCCTATCTCTGCTGGGGTACTTGAAAACCAGGATATGCTGGGGGGGGGGCAATTTGACCCCCCCCCTCTAAATCCCATGTTTGATGTCCAAATATGACAAAATATACATCATTGGAAAGCTCTTGTGCTCTACTTTTAGAATCTGCAAAAAAAATTGCAAATTTGCAAAAATTGAATTTTTTATCGCAAAATCCAGTTATAAAGTAAAAATGTTTGCAAAAATAAATTTGTCCAAAAAATGAAAATTTATACATTATTGAAAAGCCCTTGACCATGCCATTTTAAATATGCAAAATTTTTTGCAAAATTTTTAATAACCTGATTTTTAATCAAGAAAAACTAAAAATGTGCAAATTTCCTTTGACAGGTTGTTTGCAAAAAGTTTAAAATTTTTTTTCGCAAAACTTGTGCAATTCGTTTCCTTATGTAAAAGACTTTCCAAAAAGCTAAATTTTATCAAAATCTGACAAGTGGAAGTGGGTCAAAACAAAGATTTAGTTTGTTACAGGCAAAAGCAGTCATTCAGGCAGTGTGCCTGAGGACTCAGGCAGTTAGTATTAAAGCCCGGTTTTAGGCCTAAAGGGAGGGCTTTGGGTATGTTGGAAAAGTCAGAAAATTTCAACAGCCTCAGACCAATACTTTTTGAGTTATGTAAAAAAAAACAAGAAGGGGGGGTCAAATTGAAGGGTTAAGGAATAGGGAATAGGGTTAACAATCAAAACTGAATTAAAAAAGTCGTCTTAATTGTATTGATATAATCGCCCATCACAGTACATAATTATTTAAAAACATTAAAAACCGTCACAATCCAACAAAATGGATTTTTTATGGACAGAATGAGTTAAAATAACAATGAAGATATTGAATCCACTACGGTAGTAATAACTAAGTATAAATATGACGTTATTGCGTCAGGTTAAATCATACAAATTGACAGGAGGTCTAACTAAACAGATAAATAGTTCTCAATTCTATATTTAGAGAATATTTAGAGAATTTAAAGGGACTGTTAGCGTAATTCCAAGTGACCTCATATGCAAAGATGGCAATGTCTGAATCACAAAGGTACCCTTTAAAAGCTGTATATATCAATGTTTATAATTTTTAAAAACTGATAATTTTCAATTGGGATTTAATGACTTGCGCATTTCTACTGAAGGAAAACATATAGGAATTATTAGAACTTCTAAGCCTAGAAATACAACAATATCTTCCACATTATTCATCACATGAAGGTTGTGAAGCGGGTATTGACATCTTTGCATGTCGAGAGTCACTTAATATAACGCCACAGTCCCTTTAAAATATGTGTATGATACAGAAACTATTTATGGTATTTAAAGGGAGAGTTCCCTATTTTAAATTTTGAGATTTTGAACACTTAAAGATGTTACTAGGGGACCGAAGGTAAAAAGAATTGAATTATTGAACCAATCGGATTTTTGTCTAATCTACCTAAATTCAAGGATAGATTTAAAAGCAAACTTCATGAGCTTACATTTTTGCTTTAGAGATTGCTTATTTTGGTTTGCAGTGATATCCGAACCCTCTAGATATAGGCGTACACACAACTTTGGTGGTAAGGGCTCTTTTTTCTGAGGGGGGGGGGTGAAACTCATATTTTTTACTTATTTTATTAACATGATAAACTAGTTATTAACATGATTAACTAGTTATTAACATGATTAACTAGTTATTAACATGATTAACTAGTTATTAACATGATTAACTAGTTATTAACATGATTAACTACTTAATGACATGATTAACTAATTATTAACATGATCAACTAATTATTAACATGATTAACTAAATATTAACAATTGTATGAATGTTTTTGAAAAAAAGAAAAAAAAGGTTTTCTGTTATAAGGAATGTTTTGTTTGAAATATATCCCACCTTCTTGTCTCCTTGTCCCCCTGTTGCAACCCAGGGATTGTTGAAACCTGTAAAAAAAGTTTTTTACTACAGTAGTCGGCGTTTATATCAATACAATGAAAACAACTTTCTATTTAAGTTTTTATTTCTACCAAGCTTATTAAGTGAATAAGTTTATAAGTGAATACAGAGAAGCTGGTAATTGACGAAATAAAGAAATAAAGATGAAATGTGTCCCTAACGAACTATGAACGAACTATGAACTAGCTATGCACGAACATTGAATGAACTTTGAACGAACTATGAACGAACTATGAACGAACTATGAACGAACTATGAACGAACGATGAACGGAATATGAACGAACTATGAACGAACTATGAACGAACTATGAACGAACTATGAATAAGCTATGAACGAACTATGAACGAACTATGAATGAACAATTAATGAACTTTGAACGAACTATGAACGAACTATGAACGAACTATGAACGAACTAGGAACGAACTAGGAACAAACTATAAATGAACTATGAAAGAACTATGAACGAACTATGAACAAACTATGAACGAACTATGAACAAACTATATGAACAAACGAATTAAAGAAGGAAAAACAGAACGCGTCCATTTCTATCTGCAACATGGCGCGGAACTTCGAAATAAATTACTGATTACCTAAACACTGAACATAGTCTGCATGATCAGAGACCTGATCCAAACATTTGCCTTCATTCAAGTCCCAGCTCCGTAAACTCCTACAATAGAAAATAAATTCGAAATTATATGTTATAAAACATAATATTGAATTATATAATTACATATAAGAAATATATTTGCGTCCATAACGTACGTCCACAATATGCATTCACAAATCACCTGGGGAACACTGGGTTCTCAAGCTAGTATACATACATAACGCTACATCAGATAGTAAAAGTTTGAAATTTTGAAATATCAAAAATGGAATTCAACAAATATGAGTAGAAATTGGGCTCCTATGAATCCAAATTATTAGCGGGAAACTACAACGAAGTGCGCATTAGGTCTGAATTGGAATATTTTGATCTCTCATTCATAATCCGTCAAAAATACCGTAAAAGACCTGATAACTGTATAAACATATATTCTATACTACCAGTGTTCCCCTGGTGATTTGTGAATGCAAATTGTGGACATACGTTATGGACGCACATTGTTGACGTACGTTATGGACGCACATTGTGGACGCACAGTATGAACGCACATTTTGGACTCACATTGTGGACACAACTTGTAGACGCACATTATAAATGTTAAAGCACATTGTGGTTGCACATTGAGGAACCACATTGTGGACGCACATTGTGGACGCACATTGTGGACGCACATTGTGGACGCACATTGTGGACTCACATTGAGGACACACATAGAGGACGCATATGTGGATGCACCTTGCAGACGCACATTTATGATGCAAAAAGTGGATTCACACTGGGGACGTATATTTTGGAAACACATTGTGGACTCACATTTAGGACGCACATTATTGATGCACATTGTGGACGCACGTTTTGGACGCACATTTTGGAAACACATTGTGAACACACATTGTGGACGCAGATTGTGGAATCACATTAGTTCATTGTGAACGCACATTATGAACGTACAATGAGGATGCACATTTTGGTCGCACATTGTGGAAAAACAATTTGGACGCACATTGTGGAAACACATAGTGAACGCATATCGTGGATGCACTTTGTGGACTTTGTGGACGCACATTGTGGACACACATTGAGAACATACATTGCGAATGCACATTGTGGATGCACATTAAGGGTGAACGTTGATGCCGAAAATTGATTGCGTACATTATTGTTAACGCAAAAATATATGTGATATATATAATACATTCATGTTACAGCTTCATATTATAATATTGAAATGTTTGAATTCAAATGGAAAATGTTCAATTTGATTTTAAAAGCAAAGAAGCAGAAGAGGTGATAAAATAGACTCTGCCCACATCCAACCTTTTCATTTTTTTTTATTTTAAACTTACTGTTTCTGTATATTATCTATACCTGAAGTATAGAGATATCTCTGTATACAATCAATACCTGGAGCCTACAGATATCTCTGTATATAATCTATACCTGGAGCATACAGATATCTCTGTATATAATCTATACCTGGAGTATACTGATATCTCTGTATATAATCTATACCTGAAGTATACTGATATCTCTGTAAATAATCTATACCTGGAATAATCTGATATCTGTATATAATCTATTCCTGGAGTATACAGATATCTCTGTATATAATCTATACCTGAAGTAAACTAATATCTCTGTATATAATCTTTACCTGGAGTATACTGATATCTCTGTATATAATCTATACCTGGAGTATACTGAAATCTCTGTATATAATCTATACCTGAAGTAAACTGAGATCTCTGCACATAATCAATACTTGGAGTAAACTGATATCTCTGTATATAATCTATACCTGAAGTAAACTGATATCTCTGTATATAATCTATACCTGGAGCATACATATATCTCTGTATATAATCAATACCTGGAGTAAACTGATATCTCTGTATATAATCTATAACTGGAGTAAACTGATATCTCTGTATAAAATCTATACCTGGAGTAAACTGATATCTCTGTATATAATCTATACCTGGAGTAAACTGATATCTCTGTATAAAATCTATAACTGGAGTAAACTGATATCTCTGTATATAATCTATAACTGGAGTAAACTGATATCTCTGTATAAAATCTATACCTGGAGTAAACTGATATCTCTGTATATAATCTATACCTGGAGTAAACTGATATCTCTGTATAAAATCTATAACTGGAGTAAACTGATATCTCTGTATAAAATCTATACCTGGAGTATACTGATATCTCTGTATATAATCTATACCTGAAGCATACTCATATCTCTGTATA